CCAGAGGACAAAGTTTATTTCAGGGCTCAGATAAAATCGTCAGGTGACGTCGACTGGTTTGCTCCGGTTTCCCACAGGGCTGGGGGTGCTGAGCAAGCCCGTGTTTCCCAGCCCTCCTTCCCTGCTCCCCTCTCAGCTGGGGAAACGGTGGCTGCAGCTTGCAAAGTTACTGCAAGTGGAAATGAAACCCCCAAATGCACAAAAGCATCTGTGTAGGCAGGCAAAGGGAGCTGGAGAGGATGGGGGCAAAGGGATGCTTTATGATAGCCTCATTTTTATCAAGATGCAAACGAGAGTGCCAGTGCTGGGGGACACCAGGGGCTCATACAAGCCAAGCGCAGGCATGGCCCCCACATTTTGGTATATGGGGAGTTCCTGGCACACAGATTGCTCTAGTTTGGTGGCCTTTGTCCTTTCTGTCTCAGGATTACTATGGCAAAGAGCTGCAGAAGTCAGAGGACCTGAAAACCAATGCATGTGTCACTTCGGCCAGGCCCCTTCCCAAGGCGGTGAGAGATGCTTTGGAGCGCATCCATGAGGAGGTGGTGGCCAGGTAAACCCTGGGGTCTCCCCTCCACTGCGGCCTCCCCGTGGGCTGCAGCCCCCTGGACTGCCATACTGCTGGGGCGTCTCCATGCAGCTGAGCTCACTGTCCCCCAGGTACTACGGCTGTGGTCTGGTGATCCCCGAGTGCCTGGCGTCATGCCGGATCCTGGACCTGGGCAGCGGCAGCGGCAGAGACTGCTACCTGCTGAGCCAGCTGGTTGGGGAGCAGGGCCACGTCACTGGGATAGACATGACTGAGGGCCAGGTATGGCACCAAGCCAGGGCTTCCCCTTGCTCCCCCAGCACCCCTCCACTGTTGTTCCCTTCCTTCTATCAGGTTGAAGTGGCAAAGAAGCACATTGCCTACCACATGGACAAGTTTGGCTATCAAAAGCCAAATGTGGAGTTCCTCCAGGGCTACATGGAGAACCTGGGTGATGCTGGGCTGGCTGATGAGAGTTACGATATTGTCATGTAGGTACCGTGCAGGGCGCTGCCACTCCTGGTCCTGCTGCTGCCCAGGGCTGGGGTCCAGGTCCGCACATCACTGGGTCACCAGCTTTAGGAGCACATGGCAGGAAAAGGAAAATCCCAAGGCAGAATCTGGACTGGAGCTGGGGATATACAAACTGTCCTTTTCATGGTCAAATCGGTGTCTCAAAATCCCGCATGAAGCAGTGGGGCATGCAGCAGCTGGTGGATGTGCAGCAGCCAGTGGTGCTGTGTGCGAGAGGGTGCAAATGAGCCTTGATCTCCTCCTCTCCAGCTCCAACTGCGTGATCAACCTTGCTCCTGACAAGAGGGCTGTGCTGCGGGAGGCCTACCGTGTACTGAAGGTAATGCCAGGGCTGGTGCCCACAGCAGGAACAGAGCAGGGTTGGGGTGGCTCTGCTGTTGGGGTGCCACGTGGATGCAGCAAGTGGGAAACAGCAAGGTGGGGATGCGTGATGGGGCCAGGGAGGACACCTCTGCAGGGGGTCCTGAGCATGGTAGCACTGGGGAGTGCCCCGTTCTCCCTGCCCCTTGTGTCTGGTTTCTTCTTGGGGTCTCCCTTCACTCCTCGCTGCCTGACAGCCCGGGGGAGAGATGTACTTCAGCGATGTCTATGCCAGCCGGCGCCTGAGCGAGAGCGTCCGGAAGCACAGGGTGCTGTGGGGTACGTAGGGCTCCAGGATGGGGGTGGCATGGGATGAGCGGGCTGGCCCAGTGCCTCGATCACCCACACATGTGGTCTTGTGCCAGGGGAGTGCCTGGCAGGAGCCCTGTACTGGAGAGACCTGTACAGCATCGCCG